TCAGTGACAACTGCAGGCTTTCAAATAGGTATCATTTCCCAATTTTACACACCAAAAAATGGGGGCTGAGAGATGTGGTTCTTGCTCAGGGGTGATTTCACTTCCCGTGAGCCACTGGCACTGACCGACTGGGAGAGATCATTCTGGTTGTGAGAGGTGGAACCTGGTACTGGCATCCAGCGCAGGCTGGGAAACGCCTGGCAACAGAAATCTTAAGTACCTGCGAACATCACACACCTCACCAGAGGGCAGCCATGCCAGCCATCATGTTTGGGGTGAGCTAATTAAATGTGTGGACAAATATAGCAGGCTAATTTTGAAGTTGGTATTTTTGTATAGCCTGAGAATGATGTTGTAAATATTCAAATGGCCCTTGGCAGGAAAAAGGCTCCCCAGCCCCGATGTAGTGGCGAGAGATCAGGAATGCTGCTAAACACCCTACAGGACAAAGAGCAACCTCTCGCTGCAAAGAATTATCTGACCCCACACGGCAAATGCTGGGCTTTGAAACCCTGCTTGGATGAACTGCTGGTAAGGAAATAACAGTCAAGTGCCTGCTGTTTGGGGTCTCAAGCCCACCACCCCACACAGCACTATGGCTTCCCAGGATACTGCCTTTTTTTCCCTCCTAGACGTATGTTTTTTATATGTTGTATTTTATATTCTTTTTGGGTCCCTTTGCCCATATTATACTTTTCCATGCTATCACAAAGTCTCTGTAAATTTCATTTTAGTGAATAAAAATAGTTTATCAGACAGATAGTTTATCAAACAGATTATGAAACTTGCCAAATTATAAACCGGACTGTTTGCAATTTTTCCCCATTAAAAGGTAGGTTTCAGAGTCAACTTATTTACTTCATAAGCCAAAAAAATTCTGATTTGCTTTACCTTGAACTGTGGCTTTTCAGATGTGGTTAGTAAGACATCACTGAATAATCTGTAAAGGAATAGAACAAAGACAGAGAGGTCTTTCTTCAACCAGGTGTACGCTCAGAACAGGATCTGAACCTGTATGCCACCTTTCAGCCCTGAGCTCTGCCCCCACCCTAGCCCACCTATGTCCTCACTTCAGGCTCAATCCATTATTTATATTTATCAACCAACAGGCCAGTCAGGGAAACCCTACCCCCTACTCCCTCCCAGGTGTCTGCAGTGGCGGGGAGGCATGGGACCAGCCAGGTACGACAGGCTGTTTCCCCACCCTGGCCAGCGGTCCTCTCGTTCTAGACAGTAGTCTCCTTAGCAACAGGCAAAGAAGTATTTGTGCAGATAATACATAGAGAGATAGATTTCTACATAGAATCATTGCTTGTCTTCCTTTTTGCTTCTGTTTTTTAACCTTGTGGAGGAGATTTATTCTAGAGATCTTTCGAATAAAAATACTGTAAGTGGGAAAAGGAGCTACCCTGATTTTAATGTAAAAAGTAAATCATTTTCTTCTAAGAAATGTTTTGCATGCTTAAGAAAAAAAGCTGCTTTTAGGTAACATGATTTCTCTCTGCACATGTAGTTTGTGAAAGAGAGCAGCAAGAGTGATTCTGAAATGCGCTGGATAAAGGCAAGGAGAGGATTTCCGTGGTTGCAGGGCAAAGTGAGCCCCCCTTGAACACATTACTTAAAAGACAAACCAGACAGGAAATGCTGCCCAGCAGCGAGGGCAATGCTAACTTCCGTCCCGTGTCCTCCTGCATGCCTTTGGAGGAGGGAACATCAATCCCCTCTTCCTAGGCTGCACATCCACTTACTTCTCGAGAACAGATTTTAACTGAACACAGTTCACACTCCTTCCAATGCCCTTCCCTCTCAAGGCTGGGAGCCCAGAGTAGAAATGCTTTTTAACATTTTAAAAATTATTATTATTTTTATTAATTGGGATGTAATACAGGCACCCTATCATTCCGTAGTGCCAGTCCATCAAGTAGAATTGCACAATTGCTACCACAATCAGTTTCCAGACATTCTTGTAGAAATGCTTTTGTGACAAAAAAATACTTGAAGGAGGGAAATGGCTGAGCTTTGGAGTCAGGGTGCAAATGCAAACACACAACTCAACATGTAGTATACATGCTGTTCCCACCGTACAAGCTCGTTTTGTTCTAAGAGGTGGTATAGATTTCTTTTTCCAACTGGCTGGCTGTCTTTTTCCACCCTGACATTGTCGTGGGGCGGGGCGGGGTGTCTGTGAACATGAGAAGTGAGCCTGGGGCAGGGATGCGGCCTGTCCTGCCCATCACAGCCACCCCAGGACCAAGGACAGGCTAGAATATAGCTGCTGCTGCGTGCAGAAGTCCATTCTGAATCACAGTGACCTGATGGGGCAGTATAACTGCCCCAGAGGATTTCCTAAGCTGAAATTCTTTCTTTCCTTCTTTTTTTTAAGTCATTTTATTGGGGGCTCTTCCAGCTCTTATCACCATCCATCCATTGTGTCCAGCACATTTGTACATATGTTGCCATCATCATTTTTAAAAGGCTGAAATTCTTATGGGGACAGGTCTTTCTCCAGCAAGGCAGCTGGTGGGCCCAAAGTTCAACCTTTTGGGAGGCACTGTAACAAGCCCTCTGTAAACACTGGTTCAAAGAATGGCTGGGACCCTAAAGTTATCTCCACCTCTTCTGAATGGGGCTGCATGTGCTTACCCAGGGTCTCCTGCTCTGTGCCCCCACGTTACTTACTGCTGGCTGAGGACACCTGTCATACAGCAAGCTGGGGCTGACAAAGCACCTGGTATGGAGCCTGGACCAACAAATGCCCGTCTCTTTCCTTTCCTCCCCCTGTCCCAGCTCCCCCTCCTTGTTCAGGCCCCTGAACACAGGGTCAGGGCTCCGTGGATATAACCTGAATCATTATTAATCACAATGGACACTTAATGAGCACTAAGCATCCGGCATCAAACTAGAAACCGCCTCATTCAATCCTCCCAGCAACCTCTCAAGTGAATATTATTATCTCCATTTTACAGTTGAGGAAACTCAGCTTCCAGAAATTAGGTGACTTGCCCAAGGATGCCCCAGGTAGTGTCCCCCGTCTTGACCACTCTGCTGCATGAAGAAACAGACAATGTATCCAAGGGAAAGACCCACTGCACTATTTGAAACTGCCTCGCTGAACCACTCAGAACGCTGTTTCAGGGAGACTGTCTTCCGAGTCTGGGTCACGTGAGGTGGTTAACAATGTTACCCAGCGGATAAGTGCACGAACACAAGCATATGTTTTCTGGGGGCCCAGAAGCTCCCTGTCTTCCTTCTGGAGGGTACCCCCTCTGTGGTCCTGGGACCTATGGCCCAACCACAGCGGTGGCCTGCTGGTGCGCCGTAGCAGGGTCACAAAGGAGAGCTGGGGAGGACGGCCCTCCTTGGGCATCGCCTCAACTCAGGGCTGCACAGGCGCGCACACACATACACACACACACACACACAACTGGCATGGATGGAGGAGAGGCAGGTGGGGAACCACAGGCACATGAAAGGCAGGAGTCATAAGGAAAGGGCAACGGGTCATGCTGCAACTGAGCATCAGCATGCAGGTCCCTTGGACAAGGCGAGGACCCAGGCCCGGGCTCTACTCTGCTCTTGCGCCTTGGGCACGGTGGCAGGGCTCAAACACGGTTCTCAAGACCATAGCCAAGGCACGCAATTGACTTACGGCATCTGTAAGAGGCGGGAGACGGTAGGCATGCCGTTTTTACAGGCTTCACAAGACAGCGTGGACTCCAACACGGCCACTTGAAATGAACAGATACACGTTTTAGTTCCACAGAACAAGCTGGCAAACCCACCGGGCGATGAAAAGTTTGACACCACTTTGTAACAACTGTCTGCAGGCTGATCGGGACAGTGTCAAAACTCTTCACACACAGACAGATGGCGTACATGGGGACGGGGGACGTTGGCAACACTGATGCTACCGGATGATTTACAGGAAACGGTTCAGGAACCACATGCTGATGAAAAGAAAGCTAACTGCATTTCAAGAATCATTGGAGAGTGGATTCAAGATATCATTCATAAAAGTGTTTGCTCTCTTGAAGGAGAAGTAAACACCACGCAGAAGCACAAGTCTGAGCTTGAAAGACATCTTGATATTTGCCTGCTTCCAATCAAAACTGGCACCCAAAATACCAATGATTGTCATCTCAGCAGCCAGCACCTTGCATGCCCTCAACAAAAGCAGCCAGGTTTTTTCCTGGCCACAGAACCCTGTGTAGTTTCAGCTGCTCAAACTCAGCACAAAGCAGCCTCAGGGCCCGGTCACTGGATGAGGAGTTGACTCCCAGGACTTAAAAGCACGATGGTCCAAGAGCTGCTCTGCCCTGCTCTGCTCTGGCTGCAAGTTCTACCGGAGTCAGCTGTGGAGCGGACAGAAGGGTCCCTGGGTGGGTGGACATTCATCCCTACACACTCCTTCTGAAAGGTGCCTCCCACCTGTCTGCTGGCTCACTGTTCCTTTTCGGATAATGCTGACCGAGCTCTGGGAGCCAATTGGCCTGGGTGTCTGCATCGTCGTCTGCCTTTTTCCCCATGTCAGCTGGATTCGTATCTAGCTGGCTTTCAGCCCATGGTTCCCTTGCAGCCCCACTCCAGCTCTGTCTCCGGCTTCCCGCCTGAGGGCTGAAGGCTGGCTTCGTTTGCCCCTGGCTTTCCCTTCTGCACCCACCCAAACCCTGTCGCTGGGGACACCCTGGCCATTCTTATATCCTTGGCTTCCCGATTTTGACCGAGGAGGCACCAGACAGGCGGACAAGTGGAAAAGTCACCTGCATAGTCACTGTAATTAGGTCCATTAGTCAAATCTGGCCTACTTTTAAATTGCCGTTGGGGGCCAGGGTGGGGGGACATAATGGAAAGGGAGTGAGTAGCTCTGTGGACTAGTGGGGCCCTGGAAGATGGCTCCAAAGCCCATACTGACCCACAGCCATGGACGGAGCAGGAGGAAAGGAGTCTACAGGCACCGAGTCTGGTGGCCGTCCGTAGGTCATTTCGTACAGTAAGTGGCCAAAGCAGTGAACGTCCACGCTTTCCAAGGTCTGTGGAAGAAAAGAGCAGTGGCAAGTGCACTCTCCAGGTTGGTTTTAGGAGCCCCAGCGCTCCAAGGCCAGGAATCCACCGGGAACAAGGCCAAGGGGCCCTCATGTCTCTGGTGGACAGTAAGCCTGATGTCAATAAAGGGCTCGGTCTTCCCCACCACACTTTTCTCCCCTTCCTGCCCCACCTGTCCTTTCCACTCAGCCTCTGGAGGCCCAGCAGTGCCCCGGGAGCCCCCGGTCAACAGGGCAGACCGACCTCACCGCCCCCTCCCTGCTGAGGGCACTGCCTTGAGGACAACTTATAACCTTCTGCCTCCTGACTCCCACAACTTACGTTGATTTTCCTGAACTGTGAGAAGTAGGAGCGGTAGAAGGAAGGCAGGCCCAGTAAGGAATTCTCAAGGTCTAGCAGCCGGCAGGTGTCCCCGTCTAGCATCACATTGGAGGCATGAAGATGCCCGTACGGGAATCCCTTGTCATGTAGGAACTTCAGGACCTGCGCAACCAGGGCGGAGTAGAGAACACCAAGTCAGCCAACGAAAAGGCAACCACAGGCTATGTTCCACCCTCGCCCCTCGCCACACCAGTCAGATACAAGACACGCTAAACTTTGTTTTTGAAGTTCATGTGTTTTGAAACAAAATCAAACTGGTCACTGGGGCGATTCCCAAATGCCATCTCCACCCATTTCTTTGATTAGGGGGTGAAGCTGAACCCTTCCCAGCTGTGAGCTACAGCCCCAAATTCATTTCCTAAGGATAGAGAAGCCAGGCCTGAGTCGGCTTGGGGAAATTAACAGCTTTGACAGCAAACATGACACCATTTTCTGATCCCAATACATCAAACGTCTTCAGGGTAAGTCTTGATCCTCTTGGGTAGACGAGTAAAGTTACAGTGTCATTGCTTCCGCCAGTTACTAAAGGCCAGAGACTGAGTTGGAAATATCTCTAGTCCAGTCTCCCTTCAGACCCACTTACTAACAGAGATACACAACCGGCTCCTCGAAAAAGCAGCAACTTCTCATCTACCATGTGAATAAATCATGGCGTACCGTGTCATCCCCGCGGAACGTTGATTCAATCTCACAGAGACCCTCTAGGGCAGAGTAGGACTAACCCATGGGGTTTTGTAGTCTTCACGGAGGGAAGGATATGACCACATTTTTCAAAGATCTTACCAGCCTTTCGGGAAGCACCACAGAGCCGCCAAGGGTCCTTCCATCAGCTCGGTTCCACCCCAAACCAACCCTACAGGACAGGGTAGAACTGCCTCTGCCTCTGTGGGTTCCCGAGACGGTAACTCTGTATGGAGGCAGAAAGCCTCACCTTTCTCTGGCATAGATGGTGGTTTTGAACTGCTGGCCTTGCGGTTAGAAGTCCAATGCTATAACCCACTAGTTACCGGAGCTCCTATTCCAGCCCCTGTAAAGACCTGGTGAGGTTGCAGAGTGAAAGCCAAAGCGAGAGCCATCCCTGGGTAATTCACCGAGACTTGTCTTTCTAGCTTTCCATTGCTTTGATTTTTGTTCTAAAGTATAAATTAGGCAGGGGTTTACATTTCAGACCATGTTTAAAAAAAACTTTATTCTTTCTCAGGTTCAATTTATAATATACAAAATGTACCAGTGATAGTACATGTAGATCATTTATAAATCAATAAGTATACATTAGAGAGATATACTTAAACTGTCATTTTCTAAATAACATTTATTGTTGTTGCAGATATACACAGCAAAACTGAGACTGCTCTTTAGTGATAGGATTCCACAGTGCAGGCAGCTTAGAGACGACTCAACTAGAGGTGACATGGAAAAGCTTCAGACTTCTCACTGTTAGTTATATTTCTGTAAGGCAGCCATTTGGTTATGGATAGACCATAACAAAATGAAGAATCTTGGCTCAAAGATAAAGATCAGCCAGGGATAATACAAACATTGGTCCCCACACAGTTCAGTTCTTAAAGTCAGGCACTACATTCCAAGAGCTAGAGCTTTGGAATTTTGCAGACAGACATTCCTGCCTTACGAATTAAAAAAGGGACAAAGGATATGAAAAGAGAGATCATCAAAGAAGATATCCAGCAAACATAAAGCAAATGCTTTCGATCACTAGCCATGTGAGAGATGCCAGCAATGAAACGCTCCCTCGCACCAGCCATTAATAGGGGAGTTTTGAAAAGACAGAAAACAATTTATAAAGGATCAAGGGTTCATGCGGGAGGGAGGGGGGAATGAGCTGATGCCAAGAGCTCAAGTAGAAAATAATTGTTTTGAAAATGATGATGGCAACATATGTACAAATGTGCTTGACACAACAGATGGATGGATGGATTTTGATAAGCGTTGTAAGAGCCCCCAATAAAATGATTTAAAAAAATAACAAATGCTGAGAGGGAGCGGAGAGTTTCGAACTCTCAGACACACTGGTGGGCCTAGAAAACAGCACAGCCACTGTGGGAAGCAGGACAGTGCTTCCTCAAAGCACAACTGGAAGAAAACATGCCGCCTGCCCCAGCAATCCCCCTATTGGGCATATACCCCCAAAGAACTAAGAAAGCACGTGTTTATATGCACACCAACAGCAGGAAGATGGAAACAACCTAACAGCCCATCAGTGGGAAAAAGGATAAGAACACTTGGGTCCATGCGCACAATGGAAGACTATGTGTCACACTAAAGAATAACACAGGAACCGTGAAACGCCTCCTGGCATGGATGGATTTGGAGGACACGTGGCTGAGTGACGTGGCTGAGTGACGTTAGGATAAATGTTGTATGAGATCACGGTTACAAAAGAAAACAGCAAGATAAAGATGTTCATACTCCCCCTGCAAAACCAACAAATTGATAGGGTAGGGAGTTAAAGGAGAAAAGGGAAGCCATAGGCAAGAGGGTGGACGTGTGTCAACTGGGGACAGGGAAGACACAGAGAAGGGCAAACTATCAGGACGTTTGATAAGATGCTGACGTTGTTAAATAAAATAGAGGTTCTGAATTGTAAGCTCCCACCGAATTCACGAGAAAAAGCTAGAGACAAAGAAAGAAAATAAATTCCTGCCATCATCTCAAGTATGGCTTTTGTGGACTAGGATATGGCAGTGCTTATACGTGATCACAGACTTAAGTTGTTTTAGCTGTTGCTTGGGAACTTCCCCCAAAGACGAATGCAATTCAAAATTATATATGATAATCAATAAACCTCTTACCTCTAATATTTGCCGCCCGTATGTTTTTATTTGCTGGAGTTCGAGGCCTTGAATCTTCTTCGGGCTGCAGTACTTCTTAAGGAAGGGGTCTTTGGGTTTTGCCTTTGGAAAAGACGACAGAGTACACATGTCAGCAGCAGAAGGGCTGACCATGGATAGGCAGGATGAGAGAGAGAGAGAGAGACAGTGTGCAAGAGAGAGCCAGCCTGTGTGTGTGTGCAAGAGAGAGCCAGCCCTGTGTGTGTGTGCAAGAGAGCTAGCCGCGCGCGCGCGCACACACACACACACACACATGCACGCAAGCGAGAGCGAGGGAGCCAGCCCGCAGATGTGGGTCTATATTACAACGGTCTGTGTAGCTGATATGAAGACACTAACCTAAGTTCTGGTCCTTCTCTAGGCCAGGCTTGGATTTAGTAGATCCCGAAGCTGA